AGATTGGTCTCTCTAAGCGAGATCCCAATTCGTCGGTCATCCGACGTGACGTTGAGAGTGACCGACTGAAAGGGAATGGCCATTACCAAAAGGTGAGTAAATGTTAATGAATTGTTTTTCAAAACTGTATCGACAGTGTTATTGAACTCAACACTGAACTTACTGGAGATCAATAACAACAGTACTGTTTAAAGTAGAGCGGTTTAAGGTTAAAAAAACACATTATTTTCCACATACTGTACATTATTGTTTCTCCTCTATGCCCCACCTACCTAGATATGTGGGGGCGTGTTAGAACGAGCCATTTTAGGTAGGCGTGTTTGACTCAACTTTTATAAAGAATATCTCTTTGGATTTGAGACTTTAGTCTTTGCAACTTTACAGATCTTCTTTATGCACCAAGAGCTTGTAACACTCCAAAGAGAAAGGAAAAATTGAAATCGCATCATATGACCCCTTTTTTTTTATTAAAAACTGTTTGATTTTCTGTCTGCCAGTAGTGATAAAGTGAATAATAGTTATTTAATACTTAAAACACTACACATTGTTGTTGTATCTGATGCAGTTGACCATTATATGCAATACATATCTCAATAAATACTAAAACCTTTTGGTTGTGTTGTGTTGATAAAATTAATATATTGTAAAAAAATTTGGACGGATTCCCCAAACCACATATTTTAGCTTCAAAATGGAAATTCACCAACAAGTGCCAACTTTGGGACACTATTTTGTACCTACACTCTGATTAAAAACAAAACAAAAAAACTAATATGTTCACTCTAGTAACTAGTATGTACTTTTAAAGTGATATGTGCCTTCAAGGAAATAATATGCATCATTTTGCGTAAATAATGTACATAAAAAATGTTACACTATGTTGATAATGAATTGTGACTCTAACACTTTTGGGAAATGAACTTTTGTTCAATAGGACATAGACCTAATGAAGGCATTGCTATTGTAACGAGGGGTCAGAGGCGTGTGGATCGATTTGCAGCTTTTCTTAGAATCAATGGCAGAGTCAAACAGGCAGTAATCAATCATCAGCATCAGGAACAACAGGGACAATCCAGGAGAGTAAACAGTAACAGAGCGAGGGTCGGGGCAGGCGGCAGAGAATCACACTAGTAAGAACAGTCCAAGGTAATACACAAGAGATCAAAAGAGAGGGGATAAACGCTCAGAAATGTAGCCGTGGCAAAACAAGACGTCACGAAAACTAAGAGTCTGGAAGCTGCTTAAATGGGGAAGCTAAGCGGAAACACCTGTGCCAGTAATCAGTCCCAGGTACGGGGTGTATGGGAAATGGAGTCCAAAAACGCTAGTACTCAGGAGAGGGTGCCCTCCGGAGGCGGTCGGAGAGAGCCACAGAGGCCTGATTTGTGACAGCTATAAATGTCTGTCTGTATTGTGCGTGGAATTATATATATATATATGTGTGTCTGTGTGTGTGTGTGTGTGTGTGCTGTCAAATGATTAATCGCGGTTAATCGCATCCAAAATAAATAAAAGTTTTTGTTTACATTATATATGTATGTGTACTGTGTATATTATGTATACGTATATAAATAAACACACATACAGTATATATTTTGAAAATATTTACATATTTATATATTCATATTCTTATATTTTATATTATATATAAATATATTTAATATATAAACATACCATATTTTTCTTAAATATATGCATGCATGTGTGTGTATTTATATATATACACATAATAAATATACACAGTACACACACATATATTATGTACACAAAAACTTTTATTTTGAATGTGATTA